CAGCTTGCTGCAGACTAACTAGCTGGTGGCTTGCTTTCTTGCTTGCTTGCTTTCTCGCTTTTGCATGGTGCCATATTGTTTTGATGGATAGATGTTGCACAGCTGTCCGTTCTCAGAAGTCTGTGATACAGAAAAGCCATTCCTCCTCACTGCCCTGCTGGTTCTCTTCTTTCAGGTCTAGAACCTTGTATGGCAGGGGCCTCCCCAGTGGAGCCTGGGGCTGGGAGGCTGGGACTCTCACCTTGCACATAGATCAGTTTTTTTTTTTTTTTTTTTTGAGTTGGAGTCTCACTCTGTCACACAGACTGGAGTGCAGTGGCCACTCCCCGCCACCGCAGCCTCGACCTACTGGGCTCCGGCGATCCTTCCGCCTCAGCCTTCCAAGTAACTGGAACTACAGGCACACGCGACCACGCCTGGCTGATTTTTTGATTTATTGTAGAGATGAGGTCTCGCCAAGTTGCCCAGGTGGGTCTCGAACCCGCGGGCTCAGACAGTCCAGTCACCTCAGCCTCCCAAAGGTGCGGGATTACAAGCTGAGCCACCGAGCCCGGCTCAAGCAATACTCTTGCATCAGCCTCCCAAGTAGCTTTTCAGACCTCTGTTGAAATGGAGGGAGAGACAGCCTGCAACTCAGGGGCTACTCCCCTTGCAATGAGAAGGAGATGCATTAAACTGGCCATTCCAACATCTAGCTCTTTCGTCCCATCTGGCAAAATTCTTACAGTTCTGGAAGATAATGAATGAACTAAAGTGTTGCCTGTTACATAGTTTTGTTTACATGACTTGAGATTTAACTCTTGTTGAGCATCAATTAGGTATTTAGGTCTCTATTTAATCTGATTTTTTTTTTAGGATGATGGCTACAAATTAGACAATAGAAGCGTTATTTTGTGATGTTTAATGCATAAAATTATGGGCTACCCTTAATCTCTATAATGTCCTCTTGTCAAGGGTTTTGGATAAATCTGTATTATTCTTTTTAATCCAGCTTTATATTAGTTTACAAAGTACTTCTACCTTTGCAAGTACCTCTTAGCTTTACAGTCATCCATAAGGAAGGAGAATTACCCCTATTCTTACAGAAAATGGGTTCAGAGAAGGTAAGAGGTCTTCTGGTTCTTCATTCTAGACAACTATATTTTATTACATGTAATAACCAGAAGTGTGAAAAGTGCCTTCATCCTGTAATCCCAGCACTTTGGGAGGCTGAGGCGAGAGGATTGCCTGAGTCCAGGGGTTTGAGACCAGCCTGGGCAACTTGGTGAGACCTTGTTTGTACAATATATCACACCTGTAGTACCAGCTACTTAGAAGGCTGAGGCGGAAGGGTTGCCTGAGCCCAGAAGGTCGATGCTGGGGTGGCCGTGTGTGTACCACTGTACTCAAGCCTGGGTGACAAAGTGAGACTCTGACTCAAAAAAACCCCAGTAACTTTGTGTGTTTCCTTGTGCTTAGGCGCAGAATAGTCAATGAAAGTGGTGGGCTGGGCTCGGTGGCTCACGTCTTTAATTCCAGCACTTTGGGAAGCCGAGGTGAGAAGATTATCTGAGCCCACCGGTTTGAGACCAGTTTGGGCAATTTGGTGAGATCTCATCTCTATAATAAATCAAAAAAATTAGAAGAGTGTGGTGGTGCGTGCCTATATAGTTCCAGCTACTTGGAGAGGCTGAGGCTGAAGGATCACATGAGCCCAGCAGGTCAAGGCTGTGGTGGCTGTGAATGTGCCACTGCACTCCAGCCTGGGTGACAGAATGAGACTCCAACTCAAAAAAAAAAAAAAAGTAAAAAAGAAAGGTCAGTGGGGAACACAAATACTGTTGTCATTGTTTTGAATATCTTTTAACATTACAAATACATATATCCTTTGATTTAGCAATTCCACTTCTAGGAATTCATCTTTACAGATCTACTTTCCCACGAATTAAATGACTGTGTATCCTAGGTTTTTCACAGCAAAATATCAGAAGCGGCCAAAGTGTGTCTGTGGTGTAGTAACATAAATTATGATGCTTCCATACAGTGGAATATTATACTGCTGTCATAAAGAATAAGACAGCAAGACATTTACTTTGAGATAGTTGTTTAGTAAGAAAAAGCAAGATGGAAGACACTGTATGTTGTTGTGTATAACATGCTTGTGTGAGAAGGGAGGGGGTAGGGCGGGTGTGTATTAATATGTGTTTGCTTATCATGTATCAACTGTCACAGGAAGGCTAAAAATCTAATAACACTTGTTTGTGGGCAGGGCAACAGGGTCATATAGGCCTGTCATAGAAGCCTGTCACCAAAAGGCTTTTTGATCAAGAACTGTGTAAATTACGTGTTTTTAAAAATCCCTGCATGGAACTTTTTAGAAGTATGAAGGACTCACATATGCCTGTAGTGTATTCTGACCCACTCATTCCCTGCCTCTTCCCAAAGGACCCATTTAATCTTTTTTTCTGCTCCCTAAATTTTTGGCACCAAATATATTTCTGTCTCTTTTGTTTTTACTTTACAAAATTTAGCATCGTTTTTCTTATTTACATTCAAGTTCTCTTGATTAAATTTATTTATTGAATATGTGTTTTCTTTTTTTCTTTTTTTTTTTTTGAGTTGGAGTCTCCCTCTGTCACCCAGACTGGAGTGCAGTGGCTGCTCCCGGCCACCACAGCCTCGACCTGCTGGGCTCCGGTGATCCTTCCGCCTCAGCCTTCCAAGTAGCTGGAATTACAGGCGCACGCTACCACGCCCAGCTAATTTTTTGATTTATTGTAGAGATGAGGTCTTGCCAAGTTGCCCAGGCGGGTCTCGAACCTGCTGGCTCAGGCAATCTACTCACCTCAGCCTCCCAAAGCGTGGGATTACAGGCTGAGCCATTGAGCCTGACTGAATATGTGTTTTTTATGTAAGGCATTGCACCACATCCTTTTTTATTTGAACATACTTTGTACGAGTTAGTTTTTTTTTTTAAATGATTGTAGAACTGAAAAGTATTATCAGCACATGCTAGGAAAATGAAATAGTATGAATGAGGATACAGCAGAAAGTGTTTTTTTTGTCTCTAGAGTTAGAGTTCCCTAGGTGCATTGTTTCCTGCTGAGGTTGTACTATCACCACTTTTGCACATATACTTCTAATAACCTTGTATGCATCGCAAACGTATATTTCCCTCTATTCCCCCCTTTTGTATGGATTTGCCTGCTTTTTTTGTAAGAGACTTTATTTTTAGGTCAATTTTAAGTTATTTTAGGTTCACAGAAAAATGAAATGGAAGAGATTTCCCATATACGCTTACCCCCATAGGTATGAAGCCCCCCAGTTGTCAACATCCCTTACTAGGTTGGTGCATTTATAAGTGTCAAGCCTGCACTGATACATCATGGCCACAATTCATTATTAAGATTTTCTCTTGGTATAAACTCCACATTTACACACTGTGTTCATCACTTTTTTCACCTAACAACATATCTTGGGTTTGGTGATTTAGCCTATAATCCCAGCACTTTGGGAGGCCAAGGTGAGTAGATTGCCTGAGCCCACAGGTTTGAGACCCACCCAGGCAACTTGGTGAGACCTCGTCTCTATAATAAATTAAAAAAAAAATTAACCAGGCCTTATAGTGCATGCCTGTAGTTCCAGCTACTTGGAAGGCTGAGGTGGAAGGATTACTGGATCCCAGCAAGTCGAGACTGCGGTGGCTGGGAGCATGCCACTGCATTCCAGTCTGGGTGACAGAGTGAGACTCCAACTCAAAAAAACAAAAACAAAACAAAGACATATCTTGGTATAGCATTACGTTTAGATTACCACATTCTTTTTTTTTTTTTTGAGTTGGAGTCTCACTGTCGCCCAGACTGGAGTGCAGT